GCTATAATTAAAAAGACGACAACTGTTGGTGAGGACATGGAGAAACTGGAATCCCCATACATTGCTGGTAGGATATAATTGGTACAGCTACTTTGGAAAACATTTTGACAGTTTCTTTAAAAGTTAAAAATAAGCTTACCATATAATTCAGCAATTCCACTCCTAGGAATATACCCAAAAGAAATGAACATGCTCACACAAGGAATTACAGACAAATCTTCACAGCAGCATTATTCATAATAGCCAAAAACTGGAAACAATCCAATGTCTATCACCTAGTGAATGGGGAATACTATTCACCAGTTACCAATAAATGGTAAACACTATTCACCAATACTATTCACCTGGTGAATGGAAAATAGACAAGAATACTATTCAACAATTATAAAGAACAAAACATTGATATACATACATTAAATAAACCTCAAAAGCATGAAGTGAAAGAAGTCAGATGCAAAAGACTATAGTGATTCCATTTATATGAAATATCTAGAAAAGACAAATTCATAGTGATAGAAAGCAGATCAGTGGTTCTCTGGGGCTGTGGGAAGGAGTTACATTAAATGCAAATGAGCTTAAGAGAATCTGGGAGATTGATAAAATGTTCAGAAATTGCCTTGTGATGACAGTTGCACAACTCTATAAAGTTGCTAAAAACCATTAAATTGTATACTTACAATGAGTGGTTTTTATGGTAGGTAAAATATACCTCAATAAAGCTGTTTAAAAAGGGCTAGGTAGAAGAAAGAAGTTATCTCTTCCAAACTTTGGAAAATTTGATGACAGTTGTAGTAATCAAGGCTGAGTTCAAAGGATGACCAAGCAAAAAGAATCCTTAAGAAAGAATCTTTAAGAAAAGGTTCTTAAAGATTATCACTGAGCCACTTAATTGACAATCTTAGAACCACCTATCTCCAGACTTCTCACATGTTAGATACTACAATTTCCTTCTTAACGCTTTAAAAAAGAAAAAAAAAAAAAGAATAGTGTTGCTAATTCTAAGGGACACAGGACATGTTCATTCCATTACAGAAAATTTGGAATATCATCCACACAGGAAGATATCAAAGGAATTTTGGTCGATCTTGAAGGATAAAAGAATATGACTGGGGATGGGGAAGGAAAAGAAGGGTATGTAGTTCAGAAGAGTCATTAATAATGGCATGGATAAAAATGAATAAAGAATGCCCACTAAAAGTCAGGTTTACAACTTACCTTGTTTTAATCCATACAAGACTCTTGTAAAAAAAAAATATATATATATATATCATTTTACACATTAAGACAATGAGGACCAAAAAACTAAGTAACTGGTTCAAAAAGTTATGAAGCTAGTAATCTAACCTTCACTCTCAGGATCCAGGCTCTTTCCTCTGTTATGCTGCTAAGCAAGAACTTAAATTACCCCCATTTGTAAGTTCAGATCTTTGTAGAGGGCATCTTTATTTAGATGGGTTTACGTTTATAGGACTACACACTCAATGTTTCTTGAGCAACAATTTCCACTTAATCAATAAACTAAATGTGATGTGCGTTCCTTCACATTGATAAGGTTTCCAAAACCTTACCCTACTCTGGTTTTCCTCCCTACTTTCTTTCTCCCCCTTCCTATTACATTCTGGTGTTCACAAGCTCCCTTCTGATTCTACACAACTCTCTCTAGGAACCTCACCTATACCTGATATTTCAACTACCACTAATGTTGACGACTCTTCTCTCTCTCCAACTTCAAGAAATGTCTCCCTACTTTTCTTTGACTAACTCCCTCCAGGCCAAGTACACCCTACAAACTACACTTACAAGATTCTAAAGAGACAGTCCTCAATTGTAGCATATTCTTTCTAGTTCTAGGCCAGGTATCCTTCCTACATGTCCCAGAACACATTCTTACCTATCCTTATGAAATTTAACACGCTTTATTACAAATTACTAATTACTTTGTCCATTTCTCCCATCAGACAATAAGGTGCTGGAGACTTAGCACTATGTCTTATTCACAATCCCCCCAGTGCCTAGCATAGTGCAAGACACATAATAGGCACTCAAATATTGATTAAACCCATAAACAGGAGAAATAAAATTTGCTTTAAATTGGAAGCATACAATTTCTGAAGGAAACTTTCAGAGATTTATGTTTTCAAATGAGAAGATAGGCCACGAAAGGTGAAGTGACTCACCCAGTCAAGCCTTGGTCTCCTGAATCACAATTCTCTTCCCACAAAATTACAGTGCCTAGGCCGGGCGCAGTGGCTCACACCTGTAATCCCAGCACTCTGGGAGGCCAAGGTGGGTGGATCATAAGGTCAGGAGATCGAGACCACCCTGGCTAACACGGTGAAATTCCGTCTCTCTTAAAAATCAAAAAATTAGCCGGGCACGGTGGCACGTGCCTGTAGTCCCAGCTACTTGGGAAGGCTAAGGCAGGAGAATTGCTTGAACCCGGGAAGCGGAGGTTGCAGTGAGCCGAGATCACACCACCGCACTCCAGCCTGCAGACAGAGTGAGACTACATCTCAAAAAAAAAAAAAAAAAAAAAAAAATTACAGTGCCTATTAAATTGTGCTTATTGATCTAAGCTTTCTATGAAGTTCTAGAAGTAATACAAAAATGTTACAAGGAACCATTTCAACTTCATTCACCCCAGCTCTGACTGGCTATATCAGTTGTAGAGAAGTCTGTTATTACGTAATAGTTTTTCTGCCCAGAATAATCTTTAATTAAACCAGTATTTTCACATGTCCTTCACCCACAAAATAATTCAATACATACTTATCATGCATCTCTATGTAAAACAATGTGCAAGAAGTTATAATTCGTCAGTACTCTAAAAAACATCCTTAAGACCATATATTGTATGCCCCTTAAGTTTAACAATATCTGAAATAGCTGCCTTAAAACAAAATGCAATCACACTTGAGAGAGGCTGATTATGAACATCAGAGATAGGCAATGCAACTTCATCGGGAAAATCCCTATAGTCTGATGCTACTGTTTTCAAGGGTTGTTACATTATACTGCAATTGTGTTACTGGGCAACAACTCAGAAGCCAGAATGGCAAATTCACTCAAGAAATAACTGAATAAAACAAATATTTACGAAAGCATTCTGAGACTCAACTTCACTTTTTATACCTTCAACTGAAGTAACTCTTTGTTATAAGCATCAGATACAGGATTTTTGTTGAGACTGTAAAAACTACATGGATATTTTATAGACATATTTTGAGACAGATATGTGCTTTCCAAAAGGGAATGGCCAGGTTTAGGTTCCTACTAACTCTGAATTTTAGTCCAAAAGCAATCTGAAGTCACAATATACAGAAGGCAAATAACTGGGCATTTCTTTTCTTAATTTCTTCCATCCTGGATTATAGCTCAGTTAAAAGAAATAGTAGGCCAGGCGTGGTGGCTCACACCTACGATTCCAGCACTTTGGGAGGTCAAGGTGAGTGGATCACTTGAGGCCAGGAGTTCTGAGACCAGCCTGGTAAATGTGGTGAAACACTGTCTCTACTCAAAATACAAAAAAAAGCCAGGTGTGGTGGCATGCACCTGTAGCCCCAGCCACTTGGGAGGCTGAGGCAGGAGAACCACACGAGCCCACAAGTTTGAGGTTGCAGTGAGCCAAGATTGCACCACTGCACTCCAGCCTGGGAGACAGAGCAAGACTCCATCTCAAAAAAAAAAAAAAAAAAGAAAGAAAGAAACAGTACTAGACTTGACAGTCAGTGATCTCTCCATGACCTAGAGAGGGGAGTCCTGATGAAAAAAATATATAATAAATAAACTAATATTCTACTAGGAACCAGGAAATTGATCAAACTCCCCAAGCCCACTGAAGAATAGTACCAGCATTCCTGAGAGTCCTTACTGCTGGTATTGCCATGGGAAATTCTCAAATACTCACTTTCTAGGAACAGAATCTTTATTTCTGATTTCCTACTCTTTAATCTTTTTTATAGTTCACTGTTGCCATTTCTCCTTCAGTTACTCTCTTCTCTCAACAACCTTACTTTCACAATACTTACAAAAGGGGGGAGAGTAGAAATGCATATTTGTCATTGTATTAGTCCATTTCATATTGCTATAAAGAATTGCCTGAGATTGGGTAATTTGTAAAGGAAAGAGGTTTAATTGATTCACAGTTCCACATGGGTGGAGAGGTCTCAGAAAACTTAAAATCATGGCAGAAGGTGAAGGGAAAGCAAAGCACCTTCTTTGCAATGTAGCAGGAAGGAGAATGGACATAGGAGGAACTACCAAACACTTCACTTATAAAACCATCACATATCATGAGAACTCACTGTCGCGAGAACAGCATGGGGGAAATTGCTGCCATGGTCTCTCCCCTGACACATGGGGATTATGGAGATTATAATTCAAGGTGAGATTTGGGTGGGGACACAAAGCCTAATCAGTCATCCTTAAGAAATATTTATTCAGCAACTTCTATTTGGAAAAGACTAAGGATACAGCTCATCAAGATCTGAAAGTCCTGCCCTTAATAAGCTTATAATCTAGTTAGGAAGTCAAAAAAGTCAAAATAATACAACAAAAAGTGTAAGTATCAAATAAATATAACTCACAAATACATACTATTCCTATGTATGTATGAGGTCATGGTGGAGTTGAACCTTATAGAAAAGGTACAATTTAGATTTTAAGAAAGAAGGGAACAAGATCAGGACATGCAGACTAATATGGAAGGGATAAAGTACAGAGCAGGTTTAAGGGGATAGTGAAGAAACCAATCTGGGCAGAGACACCTTTTCCATGAAAAACATACGCTTGAAAAGGCAAGGTGAGAGGATTTCGAAGCGTTCAGCTTAAGTCAAGAAATGTGAACTTGGATTAATAGGAAGTTTTTTACATAGATTTACACACATTCCCTAAAAGCACATACAGGTTAAACAATGTGGGCAATTTACTTACTGAACCTAATACATTATGTATGACAAAATTAAAAGCAAGCTCATTTACTTTAGGCAAAGAGACAGTACCTGGGGGTGGGGAAATTCTGACAAGCCACTAAAATTCACTAATCTTTCTGTTAAGATTTCATTCTAAGCTTCTTGAATTAGAACATCCCATGACATAATGCTGATTTCTGATTACTAAGGATTATACGAGTCATTCTTGATTTTTCTTCTTCTCCGTCTTGCCCAACTTTTGAATATTTCATTACTTCAACATCAGCATATAGAAAAGAAAAAAGGAGAGAACTAAAATGAAGTCCATAGATTTTAGCAATACATAAGAGCATCTGACATAAAGAACATTAAACTTCAAGTTCCAATTCCCATTATTAATAGATTTCAAAGAAGTCATTTAGTCTCATCCTGTCTCAGATTTTCTCACATACTTGCTTACTTGAAAGGTTGCTGTTTCAAAAGATCATTCAAAAAGTGTTCTGAAAACAACTTGCCACAAAAATTATATCATTAAGGGTTCAATAAGAGGAGACAGTGAGGTGACTGGTAAACCAAGGATTAAAAACTACCTGTGAATAGGCCAGGCACACTGGCTCATGCCTGTAATCCCAGCACTTTGGGAGGCCAAGGGGGGCAGATTGCCTGAGGTCAGGAGTTCGTGACCAGCCTGGGCAATATGGTGAAATCCCATCTCTACCAAAAACACAAAAATTAGCAGGGCATGGTGGCATGCGCCTGTAACCCCAGCTACTCGGGAGGCTGCGATGTGAGAATCGCTTGAAACCGGGAGGCGGAAGTTGCAGTGAGCGGAGATCACACCATCGCATTACAACCTGGGCGACAAGAATGAAACTCTGTCACACACACACAAAAAAAAAACTACCTGTGAATAATCAGTGTTTCATTCTCCCAGTGCTGCATGGAATTCTAAATTGTATTTCACTATTATTTGAGAATGTTCTAAATACAGTCTGCACACTTCATCTGATCTGGAAAGAAAACACTCAAAGTAAGGGGAATACCCAGCATACTCTGTCCTAAATAACCAAAGGACAACTCAAAACCATTTGCAACTCTCAGGAGAGTTCTGTGTGACACCTGTAATATAAAGCATTCTGGCCTGGTGCAGTGGCTCACACCTGTAATCCCAGTAATTTGGGAGGCCCAGGTGGGTGGATCACCTGAGGTCGGGAGTGCGAGACCAGCCTGGCCAACATGGTGAAACCCCATCTCTACTAAAAATACACAAATTAGCCGGGCGTGGTGGCGCGCGCCTGTAATCCCAACTACTCAGGAGGCTGAGGCAGGAGAATCGCTTGAACGCAGGAGGCGGAGGTTGCAGTGAGCCAAGATGGCGCTACTGCACTCCAGCCTGGGCGACAGAGCGAGACTCGGTCTTAAATAAATAAATAAAGCATTCTAACAATTCTGAACAAACTGAGTTTGAAATCAAACCTCAATACAAAAGGTGAGTATTATTTCTAACCACTTACAAGCTAAACTCATAAATATGGAGAATTCTGAATCCAGGTAACTGTAGGATAGATACATTTACTGTGTTTTAAATATCAGACTTGTTTACAGAGATGTTGCTTGGTAACAGAAGCACTGCTTTAACAACCTACTGTTTTAGAGCTGCTCAAAGTCTGAATAGATTTTAAGTATCATACAGACGAAATTCGGACAAGTCTCTCCCCATCCTAGACATCTGTAAGATTTGAAAGAGCTTCCTCATTTCAACTAACTAAAGGCTTTAAAAATACTTAGCAGTGGATATTTTTAAGAGCAAAATGGCCATTGATTATGGTCAAAATAGTTGGACACTGAGGATTCACCAAAGTATTTAAACCCGGCATACGCTAACATATTTTAGGTATTATCTCAGTAATGACAGTCGACATCACAGTTCATTCAAATTGTCTTCAAAGCCAAGGAAAATGGTAGCACAGCTTTTTCGTCATAAATTAGGCTGGAGGTACTTAAACGTTTGGCCAATTACCAAACTGGCTACACAACCACCAAGCCAGAGTGCATCCAAAAGCTCCATAAAGAGTTTCACGTGCGTCCAACTGGCTTCAGAACAAATCTCTCCGCCTACTTTTCTAGCATGAGCTTCCACTACTTTACGAGGAAAATAAAAAAAGGATTCAAGAGCAGTTTGTGGAGGGACAAAATGAGTATTCCAAAATACAAACAAGACGCCGTGCCCAGAAAGAGAGGTTACATACCAGACGCACGCATGCTCCTTGAAACGCGCACACAGAAAACTTAAGTGACAGCAGTTCTGGCCGCGCTCGCCACCGGGGACACCTCCACAGCTCCAACCACCTGCACCCACTCAACTCCGCTTACGGAGGCATTGGGACTAAGGGTTACAGTCCTACAGCGGGGTGTCGGCCCAGCCCGCCACGCCTAGCTTTTTAGCTCGCGGCGCAAGCTGAAGAGGAGGAGGGACAAGCGGACCCCTCGGGCTCCTGTCCCTAGGGAAACGTGAAGTATCCCGGGAGAGGTCCGAGGGCAGCGGCGGCGGTGAAAAGCCCCGCTCTTCCGCGTGGACCGCGCTCCTCAGGGGTGCGGCGCCACCCCCGGTGCTGACGTCCGGCCCCGAAGCCGCCTCATCGCACCGCCCCTCCAGCTTGGAGGAGCGGGCTCTGTCCAGCGGCCCAGCGGCGCACGAAGCAGGAAGTCCCACCCCCACGCCGACGTCACCGACGCCACGGACGCCAGATGCTGCCGGAGCCGTTAGAGGGAGGAGACAAACAAACCGAGGCGGGAGCGGTCACCGGTGACTGCGGTAGCGGCGGGGCTGGGATGCGTTCCCGAAGGCGCTCCTGGAGGGCCCTGGGTGGACTCAGAGATCCCCAGAGCTTCAGGGGACGGAAAATCGAGCCCCAGGCACTTGCCTCTGGGAGGCAGAGTGACGCGCGTCGTTGGAGCGCGAAGCCGGTCTCCCTAGCCTCCGGCAGACACAGCGTCTCCAGGGGTTTTACTTCTTTACGCGCCTCTGCTTCCCTCTGCCCCACACTCTTTGAGAGCCTCAAATGGTAGTCCTGCCGCCACCCTCTCTCCCTTCGCCCGCCTGCCATCGTCCCCGTGTGTGCAGATATGCGCTCCCGAAACCGCCTGCTTGCCGCGGCTAGGCATCAGCCCACGAATGGGGAGTTGGCTCAGCTTGCCACGAGGGAACCTCAGGTCAGGACCAACCACCCAGAAGAGAGCCCTCCTCGCCCCCGCACCTCCTGCTCCAAGTCTCCTGTCCTGGTTATCCCAACTTCAGGGCCCACGTGGGGTCACGTGGGGAACTACTTGTCTTAAGGCTGTAAACAGGAGTTGGAAGAGGAGATGCTAGCTTTTGAGAACTTCCATGGTCATCCAAAGGCGGAAACAAAGTAGGCGGTCAGCCTTTCAAAATACGTGTTGGAAGAAACAGACACCTTCCCATCCCCAGCGTTTGTTCAGTGCCTTGGTTGGGCTTTGATTCTCACTATTTTGTGAAGCAAAGCTTATTTTTACCCCCAAGGTTATGATTTTCAGGCTCTAGTTATTAGGCAACTGTGAGGTGATTTTTTTTTTGTTGAAATGAGGGGAAACGGGCCCTTAGAAAGGACCGTGGCTCTTTAGAGAAGAGGGGAAAAAAGGACAGTGGGGTAGTAATGGAATGTTGCTGGATGGATTACATAGATGAGACATGGGAGATAGAATAGAGAATCCAGAAATTCCCGTGTATGTGTGAGTGTTTAGTATGGTAACAGTAGCTCACATTTGCTGAGAATTTGTGTCAAGTACTGGAGTACTTTTTCAGGTTATCTTATTTAACTCTCACATCTCTGTAAGGTAGGTGCAATTGTTATCTCCATTTTACAGAGTTGCCCAAGACCATTACTTTTAAGCGTTGGAGCCAGACAACTCCAGAAATCTCAGTGGTAACCAGTAAACTATACATTACAAATTACTGGTCAGTAGGAAAAAGATTATTCGGGAAATGGCGGTGGCTCACGCCTGTAATCCCAGCACTCTGGGAGGCCAAGGCAGGTAGATCACCTGAGGTCAGGAGTTTGAGACCACCCTGGCCAACATGGTGAAACCTCATCTACTAAAAATACAAAAAATTAGCCGGGCGTGGTGGCGGGCGCCCTGAAATCCCAGCTACTCGGGAGGAGGAGGCAGGAGAATCACTTGAACCCGGGAGGCGGAGGTTGCAGTGAGCTGAGATCACGCCATTGCACTCCAGCCTGGGCAACAAGAGCAAAACTGTCAAAAAAAAAAAGAAAAAGAAAAAGAAAAAACCGCAAGTTTAACTACACGAAGATTATAATCTACAAAGTTAGAAAACAGTGAACCAGTGGAAAATACATTAGAATCATGTGCAAAAAGGATTCATAATATACAAAGAGCTCTTAGAAATCAATTAAAAACTTAAACACTCCAATTACTAAAATTGACAAAAAAATGCCAATAGAACATTCCTAAGCCAAGAAAAACAAATATTCAGTTAACAAACGTAAAGTTGTCCCACTTCCAAACAGTTATTTTTTGTCTATCATTGTTGATAGGAGTGTGGGATACAATTACTGTCAGGCATTTTTGGTTTGAAGGTGAAATTGGTACAACCCTATTTACCAAAATTTAACATATGCTTTAACCTTTGCCCCATAGCTGTCTCATTTCTGAGGCATATACCCTAAGGAAATAAGAAAATCACAAGGATACTCGTTGCCACCTTTTTTAAAAATAATGCTTCTAGAAACAAGTGTCCATCACTAGGACACTAGTTAAGGAAATTATGGTTGGTACATGTAATGGAGTACTCTTGACCCATTAAAAACTGATGTAAAGTTCTTTATTTGCATTAAAATATGTCCAAAAAATATAGTTTCACCTCAGGAAAAAAAAAAAAAAAAAGAATTTAGCAAGTACAGTGCTGTCCTAATGTGAATATATGTGTGTACCTATGTTAATATAAGTGTACAAAAATATCTGGAAGGAGGTCAAAATACAGGTGGTTTACATTTTGTCTTTTGGACTTTTTATCTTGTTGGTGTTTTTTGTAATTTATTATTTTACAAAAAGTTGTGTTTTATTTTGTAATTAAAGCTGTGCCAGTGAAAAGGGAGCCAGTTGACTCTTGACCTCAACAAGTAGGTAACCATGATGAAGTAACTATGTCTGGGGTTCTGAGTCTCAGCTTTCTTGTGTCTATAAATTTGATTATATTCATTTACCTATAGTTGGACAAGCTAACCTACCACTTGGACATCATAGTTTTGATTCCCCATATTGGACTGGGTACCCATTCTGTGTGTTCTCTGTGTGCCTGTCATGGTATTTGTCACACTACAGTGTAATTCCCTCTGTGCCAGTAGATTGTTTGCTCCTGCCATACATATACACATGCACATACATCCTTTTTCTGCTACATGTTACACATTTCTTTTGATTTATTGTCATCTACATTTGTGTATAGAAGTTTTAATTTTAACATAGCCAAAATGCTAATGAAATCCCATAGATATTAAAGGGATACTTGGAACAACTTTATGCCAATAATTCAGTAACTTAAGCAAAATGGACAAATTCCTAAAAAAAAAAATACAAATTACCAAAAGTGACACAAGAAGGAAAAGAAAATCTAAATGTCTCAATGTCTGTTTAAAAAATTGAATTTATAAGCAAAACACTTTCCACAAAGAAAACTCCAGCTTGACTGCACCAGTGAATTTTATTAGACATTTAAGGGAGACAAAGTACCAATCCTACACCATTTCAGAAAATAGAACAGGGAGAAATACTTCTATACTCATGAGGCAAGCATAATCATGCCAAATTTTTTTTCCTGATACCAAAATTTAACATTTTACAAGAAAATTATAGACTGATAGTCCTCATGAATATATATATATAAATTCTTAAAGTATTAGCAGATTGAAACTTGCAATATAGAGGATTAGTAGATACCATGACCAAGGAGAGTGAATTTAACGTTAAAAAATCAGTGTAATTTATCACATTAACAACAAGAGAAACTGTTTCAACAAATGCAGAAAAGGGATTTGACAAAATTCAAAGCCCATTAATGTTTAAAAAAAGAAACAACAACAAAAAAACCAACTCTAAGCAGCCTAGGAATAGAAGGGAATTTCCTCAATGATTTGAAAAACTTAATGGTGAAATATTAAAGCCTTTTCTCCTAAGAACAGGAATAACAAATGTAAGAAAAGAATTTTCTGCTCTCACTGCTTCTACTTAGGATATTGGAGGCCCTAATCAATGCAAAAAAGCAATAAGAAAAAGCATAAAGATTGGGAAGACTCAGGTATCCTGATTTCAGAACTTGCTATGAAGCTACAGTAATCAAGATAATATTATACTCTTATAAAGATAGGAGTACAGATCAATGGAATATAATTGAGTCCAGAAATAAAGCCTTATATTTATGGTCAGTTGACTTTCAGCAAAACACCAATACAACTCAATTGGAGAAAGAGTAGTCTTTTCAACAAATGGAACTGGGGAAACTGGATAGCCACATGAGCAAAAAAATTAAATTGGAACTCTACCTCACACCATTTATGACTATTAAGATGAACCAAAGATCCAAACACAAGAGCTCAAATTATAAAACTCTTAGAAAAAAATATAACTAAATCCTTACCACCTTGAATTAGGCAGTGGCTTCTTTGATGTGACAAAAAGCACAACCAAGGGAAAAAATGAATGCATTAAAATTAAAACTTCATCAAAATCAATAGCCAGGCATGGTGACAGGCGCCTGTAGTCCCAGCTACTGGGGAGGCGCTTGAACCTGGGAGGCGGAGCTTGCAGTGAGCTGAGATCTAGCCACTGCACTCCAGCCTGGGCGACAGAGCAAGACTCTGTCTCAAAAAAAAAAAAAACAAAAACAAAAAAAAACTTCATCAAAATCAAAACCTTTATGCTTCAGGCTGGGCACCATGGCTCATGCCTGTAATCCCAGCACTTTGGGAGGCCAAGGCAGGCGGATCACCTGAAGTCAGGGGTTCAAGACTAGCCTAGTCAATGTGGCGAAAACCCGTCTCAAATACAAAATACAAAAATTAGCCAGGCATAATGATGTGCACCTGTGATCCCAGCTACTCGGGAGGCTGAGGCAGGAGAGTTGCTTGAACCCAGGAGGCAGAAGTTGCAGTGAGCCAAGATTGCACCACTGCCCTCCAGCCTGGGCAACACAGCAAGACTCCATCTCAAAAAATTGCTTCAAAGAACAATATCAAGAAAGTGAAAAGACAATCCACAGAATGGGACAGAATATTTTGGAAATCATGTATCTGGTAAGAGTGCACTGTTCAGAATACAAAGAACTCATAATTCAACAATAAAAATCCAATTTAAAAATGGACAAAGGATTTCAATAAACATTTCTTCAAAGAAGATATACAAATGGCCATAAGCACATGAAAAGATGCTCAGTGTAATTAGTCATTAGGGAAATACACATCAAAACCAGGTGATACCACTTCACTAGGATGACGAATTTTTTTAAAGAATGGACAAGAACAAGTGTTAGGACATGAAGAAATTGGAACCCTCATACTCTGGTGTATCCATACAATGGATTACTATTCCTCCATTAAAAGGAATGAAGTACTGATTCATGCTACAAATTGATGAACCTTAAACACATATGCTAAGTGAAAGCCACATATTATGTAATTCCATTTACATGAAATGTTAATAATGGGCAAATCTATAGGGAAAGAAAATAGATTAATAGTCAGGGGCCGGGGACCGGGACAGTGGGGATTGACTGCTAGTAAGTATGGAGTTTATATTTGGAATGATGAAGATATCCTGAAGTTAAATAGTGGTGATGGTTGTACAACTTTGTGAATATGCTAAAAATCACCAAATTATATGCCTTAAAAGTGAATTTTATGGTATGTGAATCAAATCTCAATTTTTAAAATGGGAAGAAATAAGTACAGTAGTTCCCCCTTATCTGCTGGGGATACATTCCAAGACCCCCAGTGGAAACCTGAAACCATGGATCGTACCAAACCTTATATACACTTTATTTTTTCTATGTATACATACCTGTGATAAAGTTTAATTTATAAATTAGGCACAGTAAGAGACTAACAACAATAATCAAATAGAATAATTATAATAATATACTGTAATAAAAGGTATGTGACTGGTCTCCCAAGATACTGTACTATTCTTGCGATGATGTGAGATGATAAAATACCTACATGACAAGAGGAAGTAAGGTGAATGAGGTAGGCATTGTGACATAGTTTTAGGCTACTATTGACCTTGAACACAAGCGTCGTGATAATGATGATCTTATAACCAAGTTGGCTACTAAGTGACTAACAGGTGGATAGCATATACAGCATGGATATACTAGACAAAGAGATGATTCCAGGCACGACAGAACAGAGTAGTATGAGATTTCATCATGCTACTCAAAACAACATGCAGTTTAAAACATGAATTATTTCTAGAATTTTCCATTTAGTATTTTTGGACCAAGGTTGACCACAGGTAACTGGAACCACAGAAACCGAAACTGCAGGTAAGGGGAGACTATTGTAAAATTATATTCACAGACAATATGATTGTGTGCATACAAAACTCTATAGAATATATAAAAAAGGTACGAGAGACTGGGTGCAGTGGTTCATGCCTGTAATCCCAGCACTTTGGGAGGCCAAGGTGGGTGGATCACCTGAGGTCAGGAGTTCGAGACCGGACTGACCAACATGGAGAAACCCTGTCTCTACTAAAATTACAGAAAATTAGCCGGGCGTGATGGTGCATGCCTGTAATCACAGCTACCTGGGAGACTGAGGCAGGAGAATCGCTTGAACCTGGGAGGTGGAGGTTGCAGTGAGCCGAGATCATGCCATTGCACTCCAGCTTGGGCAACAAGAGCAAAACTCCGTCCAAAAAAAAAAGTACGAGAAATAGTAACTTCATTTAACAAGTGATAAGATACATGCTCAGTATAGCAAAAATCAATTCTATATACTAGCAATAGAAAGTGGAATTGTAAACAATACCATTTGTAATGT